CAAACAACGTCATCCATCATATTAAATTATTTTTTAATTTGAATTTCATTAGTTTTTTTATATTGTTTTGCTTAATTTTTCAATTTTATTTGGGTGTCTAAAAAGTATGTTGTTGTTAGGTGCCGTCGAGTTCGTTCCAACTCCTAGAGACTCTATGTACAACAGAAAGAAACACTGCCCAGTCCTGCGTCATCCTCACAATCATTGCTACTTTTGAGACCATTGTTGAAGCCACTGTGTCAATCCATCTCCTTGAGGGCCTTCTTTTTTTTTCCTGACCCTCTAATGTACCAAGTGTGATGTCCCTATCCAGGAACTGGTCCCTCCTGATAACATGTCCAAAGTACCTGAGATGAAGTCTTGCCATTCTTGCTTCTAATGAGCATTCTGGCTGTGCTTGTTCCAAGACAGATTTGTTTGCTCTTCTAGTAGTCCATGGTATATACAATATTCTTTGCCAGCACCACAATTCAAATGTATCAATTCTTCGCTCTTCCTTATTCATTGTCCAGATTTCTCATGCATGTGAGGTGACTGAAAATACCATGGCTTGGGTCAGACGCACCCTAGTTCTCAAAGTGATGTCTTTGCTTTTTAACACTTTAAAGAGGTCTTTTGCAGCAGATTTGCCCAGTGAAATGTGTCGTTTGATTTTTTTGACTGCTGATTCCATGGGCATTGATTTTTGATCCAAATGAAATGAAATCCTTGACAACTTCAATATTTTCTCAGTTTATCATGATGTTGCTTATTGGTCCAGTTGTGAGGATTTTTGTTTTCTTTATGTTGGAGTGTAATCCATACTGAAGGCTGTAGTCTTTGATCTTCATCAGTATTTCAAGCCCTCTTCGCTTTCAGTGAGCAAGGTTGTGTTTTCTGCATTTTGAAGGTTATTAATGAGTCTTCCTCTAACCCCGATGCCCTGTTCTTCTTCATATACTCCAGCTTCTCAGATTATTTGCTCAGCATACAGATTGAATAAATACGGTGAAAGGATACAACCCTGATGAACACGTTTCCTAGTTTTAAATCACACTGTATCCCCTTGTTCCATTCAAATAACTGTCTCTTGATCTATGTACAAGTTCCACATGAGCACTGTTACGTGTTCTGGAATTCCCATTCTTCGCAATGTTATCCATAATTTGTTATGAGCCACACACTCGAATGCCTATGCATAGTCAATAAAACACAGGTAAACGTCTTTCTGGTACTCTCTTCTTTCAGCCAAGATCCATCTGACATCAGCAACGATATCCCTCATTCCACATAGTCTTCTGAATCTAGCTTGAACTTCTGGCAGTTTCCTGTCCACTTTTGAATTATCTTCAGCAAAATTTTACCTGCCTGTAATATTAATGATATTGTTTGATAATTTCCACATTCTGTTGGATCACCTTTCTTTGAAATAGGCATAAATATGAATCTCTTCCAGTTGGTTGGCCATGTAGCTGTCTTCCAAATTTCTTGGCATAGACGAGTAAGCACCTCCAGCACTGCGTCTGTTTGTTGAAACATCTCAATTGGTATTTTGTCAATTCCTGGAGACTTATTTTTTGCCAATGCCTTTAGTGCAGCTTGGACCACTTCATTCAGTACCATTCGTTCCTGATCATATGCTACCTCCTGAAATGGTTGAATGTCGACCAATTCTTTTTCGTACACTACTCTGTGTGTTCCTTCCATTTTCTTTTGATGCTTCATGTTGTTCAATATTTAGCCCATAGAATCCTTCAATATTGCCACTTGAGGCTTGAATTTTTTCTTCAGTTCTTTCAGCATGAGAAATGCCAAGAGTTTTCTTCCCTTTAAGTTTTCTAACTCCAGCTCTTTGCACATTTCATTATAATACTTTGTCTCTTGAGCTGCCCTTTGAAATCTTATTTTCAGCTCTTTTACTTCATCATTTCTTCCATTCACTTTAGCTATTCTACTTTCAAGAGCAAGTTACAGAGTCTCTTCTGGCATCCGTTTTGGTCTTTTCTTTCTTGTCTTTTTAATGACCTTTTGCTTTCTTTATGTATGATGTCCTCCCACAACTCTTCTGTTCTCCTTTCATTAATGTTCAATGTGTCAAATCTATTGTTGAGATTGTCTCTAAATTCAGGTGGAATATACTCAAAGTCGTATTTTTGCTCCTGTGGACTTGTTTTAATTTTCTTCAGTTTCAACTTGAACTTGCATATGAGCAATTGATGGTCTTTTCCGCAGTCATCCCCTGGCCTTGTTCTAACTGTTATTGAGCGTCTGTATCGGCTCTTTCCACAAATGTAGTCGCTTTTATTCCTGTGTATTCCATCTGGCCAGGTTCACGTGTATAGTCACCATTTATGTTGTTGAAAAATGGTATTTGCAATGAATAAATCATTGTTCTTGCAAAATTCTACCATATGATCTCCAGTGTTGTTTCTATCACCAAGGCCATGTTTTCCAACTATGGATCCTTCTTTGTTTCCAACTTTCACATTCCAATCACCAATAATTATCAATGCATCTTGATTGATTGCATGTTTGATCCATTTCAGACTTCAGGATTTGGTAAAAATCTTCATTTTCCTTATCTTTGTCTTTAGTGGTTGATGTGTAAATTTCAATAATAGTCATATTAATTGGTGTTCCTTGTAGGCGTATGTATATTATCCTGTCAATGACAGTATTGTACTTCAGGATACATCTTGAAATGTTCTTTTGACAATGAATGTGACACCATTCTTTTTCAATTTGTCATTCCCGGCATAGTAGACCATATGATTGTCTGATTCAAAATGGCCAATACCAGTCCATTTCAGCTCACTAATGCCTGGGATACTGATCTTTATGCATTCCATTTCATTTTTGACGACTTCCAATTTTCCTAGATTCATATTTCATACATTCCACGTTCCAATTAATGGATGTTTGCAGCTGTTTCTTCTCATTTAGAGTCATGCCACATCAGCAAATGAAGGTCCTGAACAGTTTACTCCATCCATGTCATTAAGGTTGACTCTACTTTGAGGAGGCGGCTCTTTCCCAGTCATATTTTGAGTGCCTTCCAACCTGAGGGGCTCATCTTCCAGCACTAAGAGGTATAAACATAAGAAATTTAGTTTTATATTTGGTTATATTTATGTAAAAGATGACAAGTATCATTTATGTTAATAGTGAAGGTCTGTGAAAACTTTTTTATTCCTTTTTAAAGTGGCTCATTTAAAAAATACAGGGTTAGACTATCTCCAATTTAATTAAACTTTTTTTTTCATGTTTAATAATCTTTAATTCAAACGTAAAAGTTCAATGCAAGCCATTTGTAGGGCTTGGGATTTGTTCTTTTAAAAACAAGAATGGGGGGAATGCAAGAGAATGATCTTTCCACTTTTTATTCAAAAACTTTCAAGGAAAGGATAGATATAGGGTCATAAAAGATCCATTTAGCCAAACCCTCTCTTCTTCCCCTACCAATGGTTTTGACACCCATTCCATAATCTTAATACACATTCCTGAATGAAGATTTACAGTTCAGACCATTTAACCATTTAAAAATAGTTAGCACTAGCTTGCTTCTTATAATGCCAAACAAATCAAATTATGAAACTGCCTCAAAATGCACTCTTTTTTAAAACAAGGTGATAGCTATTTGCAGAAAGCAATACTCAGCCTCCAAATAAATTTCCCAGAAATGGCATACACCATTCAAAGGCCTAGACACTCTCATGCTTTCAAAGTGGAATACCTAGCCTAACGTGCACAGAAGCATGAATGGCAAAGGTGAAGATCAGTATTGTAACTATTTTTTCTATTTATTTGAAGCACAGTAAAAAAACATGTGGTACACTTTGAAAATTCACTGGCACAAGGTAAACTGCCATAACTTGAGGGACATTATAGTTTTTTAAAAAAAAGGAAAAAAAAATTTATTCTGTTTCAAACACTTCATTACATAATTTTACCTGCCTAAACAGATTATTTACAACATTAGGTTAATAAATTGCTAACATCTATTAAAAATGTAGCTTTCTTACTAAAATGCAAGAATTTAAAAGATTGGTATCCAAACAAGAAAAGACAAAAGAAACTGGAATGAAAGCCTAGATATCACATCTAAAATCGGGGATTTTTGTTTGGGCATTCATACTCTTCTTTCCCTCTACCATATCCTGCTGGAATTCCAGGCCCCATTCCTCTAGGACCCTGTCCACCCACAGGCCCGGCACCTCCCTGCTCAAAGCGCTCAGTACGCATGTAACTTCCCGTCATGGAACGATTCATGGTTGCTGGTGGAACTCCAGGATTGGCTTCATAACCTATGCCACCACCACCACCTAGAGATGGACATTTCTGGCCTCCTGAACCATAGGGATCTCCCACGTTCATTGCTGCTCCATCGCCCATTCTCATGTCTCCTCTTGGATCCATGTAGCCCATCCGGCTGTAACTTTCCTCTCTTTGGCGTCTCATATGTTCTTCCATCCCACTTTGATGAATCATCATCTCTTCCTCCCTTCTACGTCGTTCTTCCTCTTGCCTCAACTGTATTTCTTTGCGTTTCTGCATTTCTTGATTATGAAGTTCCTCCATGCGTCTTAATCCTTCCTGACGTCTCATTAGATCTTGGCGCAACAGATTTGCCTGATGTTCATGATAGGCATCTTCCATTTCACTTTCCAATTTGTCCTTTGCATCTTTCATGGTTTTTTCAATTTGTTCCCTCTGTTGTTTTTCCATTTCATCCAAGGACTTCCAGCGCTGGGAATATTCATATTCAAATGTGCCATGCTGGGCAAAAGGAGGAGGCGTTTCTCTCTCCTTTTGATACATTGGGTTCTTCTGTGCAAGTTTTTCAGGAAAATCATCTTCATCAAATTGTTCAAGTGGCTCCACAATGACTGGACAAGGAGTTGATGTCAGTAAGAAAACACGTTCACTGCATCTTTCAAATGCTCCTTTTGCTGCTGGTTTAGAAGAAAATTCAACAATGCCTTTCCCCTTAGATCTTCCACCATCATCCACAATTACAACAGAAAAATATGGAAGGCTTCAGGAATTTGCGTGTCATCCTTGTGCAGGGGCCATGTCAACCTTCTCTGTATTGTTCCAGTGTTAGTATATGTGCTGCTGAAGCAAGCACTAAACTTTCTATTTTGAGATATTGTAGATTCACATACAGTTGTAAAAAAAAATACACCATGTGTACACTTTACCCAGTGGTAAGCTGAATAATGTCACTGAAAAAATGCCCAAGTCCTAATCCCTGGAACCTATGAATGTTTCATTATATAGCAAAAAGAACTCTGAAGACGTGATTAAATTGAGTATCCTGAAATAGAGAAAATATCCTGGATTATCCAGATGGATGCTTAGTACAAATCATAAACTTCATTATAAGAGAAAAGCAAAAGGAGATTTGACTACAGAAGAGGCGAAGGCGTTGTGATGATGGAAACAGAGACTGAAGTGATGTGCTTTGAAGATGGAGGAAGGGGCCACAGGGAATATAGACAGCCACTAGAAGCTGAAAAAGGCAAGGAAATGGATTCTCCCTTAAGAGCCTCCAGAAGGAAGCAACCTTGTTGACATCTTCATTTTAGCCATGAAAGACTCATTTCAGACTTCTGGCCTCCAGAACTACAAGATAATAAATTTCTATTGTTTTAAGCCACAAAGTTTGTGGTAATTTGTTACAGCAGCACCAATGGGAAACTAGTACACCCGGTCCCAATGGTAACATCTTGCAAAAGTACAGTACAATATCACAACTAGGACATTGACACTGGTAAAGTCAAGATACAGAACATTTCTATCGCTACATGGATTCCCTCATGTTGCCCTTTTATAGCTACTACACCCAAATCCCTCCCACCTGTACCTCCCCATAACCCCTGGCAACAACTAATACGTTCTCAATTTCTAAAATGTTACCATTTCAAGAACATTATGTAAATTGACTCATACAGTATGTAACCTTTTGGAATCAGCTTTTTTCACTCAGCATAATTCTCTGGAGATTTATCCAGGTTGTTGTGTATTTCAATATTTCATTCCTTTTTATTACAGAGTAGTATTCCATGAAGGAGCCCTAGTGATGCAATGATTAAGAGCTAGGCTGCTAATCCAAAGGTTCATGGTTTGAAACCACCAGTGGCTTGGTGAGAAAAGACCTCGTTATCTGCTCCTGTAAAGGTAACAGTCTAGGAAACTTTGTGGGGCAATTCTACTCTGTTATATAGTATCACTGTGAGTCGAATCAACTTGACAGCACACAACAGTATTCCATGGTATGGATTCACCCACTGAAGGATACCTAGGTTGTTTCCAGCTTTTGTCTATTATGAATAAACCTGTTATAAACATTCATGTACAGATTTTTGTGCGAACATAGGTTTTCACATTTCTGAGATGAATGTCCAAGAGTGCAATTACTAGATTGTATGGTAATTGCATATTTGGGATTTTTAAGAAAACGCCAAACTATTTTTCAGAGTGGCTGTACCAGTCTTCATTCCCACCAGCAAAGTTTGAGTGATCCAGTTTCTCTACATCCTTGGATGTTGTCACAGCACTTGGTGTTGTCACTTTTTTTTTTAATTTATTTTAGCCGTCCTGGTAGTGTACAGTGATATCTCATTTTGGTTTTAATTTACATTGTCCTTATGGCTAATAATGTTGAACATCTTTTCATATGCTTATTTTTCATTTGCATATCCCCTTTGGTAAAATGTCCCTTCATTTCTTTTGCCCATTTCTAATTGGAGTCCTTCCTCCAGTGAATTGCTTATGCACCTTGGTAAAAAATCAACTGGATGTGTCTTTGTGGGTCTATTTCTGGGTTTTTTATTCTGCTCCATTGATATATGTATCTACCCCTCCACCAATACCACACTGTCTTAATTACTGTAGCTATAAGTCTTAACATCAGATAGTGTGATTATTCCCACTTCATTCTTTATTGTAAAATTGTTTCAGCTATTCTAGTTACTTTGCCTTTCCATATTAATTTTAGAATAAGCTTCTCAATATCTATCAAAAATCTTGCTGGGATTTTGATAGACATTACATCAAACCAACAAATCAATTTGGGGAGAATTGACAGCTTTACTTATGTTGGGTCTTCTAATCCAGGAATATGATATGCCTCTCCATTTATTTTATTTGATTTCTTTCATCAGCTTTTTTTTAGTTTTCAGCATACAGATCCTGTAGTGTTTTATTAGATTAATAATCTTTTTTTTTTCATTTTTCTGGAATGAATGTAAACAGTATTGTGTTTTGAATCTCAGTTTCCACATGTTTGTTACTTTTGTAGACCATCTTTAAGCACTCAATTGATATTCCTTCAATGCAAAATACTTCAATGCCTAGAATTTATTCATGCTAGGGTGGGTATATGAAGCTGTAATAGCATTATTTTTCTTTCTTTCATCATTCGTTTAAATACTTCATACATTTTTATGCAGGAGACAAATGGAAAAGAAATGAAGATGAAAGTTGCTCTACTGACAGTATACAAGTATTCTGAAAGTCCACAGACTTTCCATGTGATACATGCTAACAGATTTAAACATTCTCAAATAGTCTTACCTTTTCACATATGATCATACATACAACACATTTGCTTAAATGTGCATAAAGAAAATCAATGCTTTATTCTTGTTCAACATTCAATTTTTAAATATTTTTAATCATTTGTTTTACAAGGCACAATTATGGGTGGGTTGGTTTTATTGTTTTCACACATGAGTAAGTTTGAAAATGATAACTTTTAGAGACAATTATTTTTGAAGTATCTGAACAAAAGGAAAATAAAAAGTTGATTATGTTTGAAACAAAAACTTTTGCTAAATTCTGTGTAATTATACATTTATTCTCTATGTTAATTTTAAACTCACTGGATATGGCATCGTATTTTAAAATAGCTTTGAGAATAAATGTAAGTATGAGAATTCTGGAATATATTCACGTGATTTCATTTTTATATTTACAGATAGACTTTTAGATTTATATGGAGATTTGGAGGGCATTTAGTTTAATACAGTTATTTTACATAAGAGAAAAATGAGGTCCAGAGAGATTGAGAAGATTGCCCAAGATTCCACAACCCTTAAGTGGCAGCATTGAGGACTTGAACCCAGACTTCTTGACTCTCAAGTCCACTGTTCTTTCAATTAACCACAATTATGACGAATAAATGACTGAACAATTGTTGAATCAAATCTTGGGCTACTCCATTTAAACAATCATTTTTTACACAATTAGTTGTATCATGCTCATAATCCATTTAGTTCAATAACTCTCCAAGGTCACTAGAGTGAAATCCTCCAGTCTAGTATTTTTATAGAATAAACATACTAGTTTTTTATTTATCATATGCCAGGTATTTGAACTAAATTAAAATTTCAGACAGATTAATTCTCTACCTTCATAGTGAAGTGGAGAACTTGAGAACTCTTTATCTGAAATAGCCACATAATTGAGGCAATCATTGCTCCCAGTGCTAAATTGTCAATTGCTTTAATTCCCCACTTCTTATCATTTATGTAAATCTGAACTAGGATGACTATTATCTGTTCCAATAATAAGATAATGGATCTTCTCCGATCAGCAAATGAGATAATATGCAATCTACTTGATTACTAAGTTTGAAATTTGTTATGTAGATTTATCTATTTGTAAAGACATTTCAGAGCTTCTCACTTAGTATTTTTTAATTACTTATCATGCTGGTTAGCCACTGTGACATAATGCTTTATGAGACGAAGACATTATTTTCAGCACTGAAAAAATATGTATTAACAAAACAGATTTAAATAGAAGCTTGAAAAAATGCAGGATTGATCCTTGATTTTGAAGTAACATTACCTGTGACTTGTGCATTTTTATTGATTTTGGTAATTCCCTATGGAAGGGAATTAAATTTTTTCCAACTTTATAAATTTTTAAAAATCAAAAAGGTAGCTTGATCAAAAGAAGCACAATCTTTACACATCTCCAAGGACTATGTTACAGGGTGCTCATACTGCCTAAAGAACATTGCCATATGAAAATTTCCCACATCACTAGAAAATATGTGATTCATAGCCTTCTAGTACTGTCTCACATCCTCTGGGAATAGTGAAAACACAAGTTTACTTCTCATCTTTCTTTTAGTTTTCTTTTTGTTGCTTTCCTATATCCTGTCTTTAATTTTGGCTGAAAATATTTGTGAATTCTTTACGATTGTACTGGTTACAATTATTGTCTTAACCCGGGTGGGGAAGATCAAGAACAACTGTTAAACAAATATATTATAATAAATATACATGTCATCATCATCATTATCAATGGCAAAAGTCCTATGAGGTACCTAAAGTCTATAAAATTCAACACACACTCATTTTTTAGATAAGAAAACTGAGGCCAGAAGGGTTAGGTGACTTGTCCAAGGTAAAAGAAGTGGTAGATGTCAGATTCCAGACTAGAATTCAGGGTTTCCAATGCCAAGTTCAAGACTCTTGGACTGCCACTCAGAGTATTCCTGTTGTTAGCTGCCGTTGAGTCAGCCCCAGACTTCTACTGCTTAATTTTTGCTCAACTGACTATAGATAGGCTTTGAATAAAGCATATATAGACAAATTTCGATTATCCCCTATATGACTTAACCCACAGAAATTTTTAAAAACTTCTTGGCAATGTACATGGACAACAGAAAAGGAACAGGAAGCTCTTAACAACATTCATTTGAAACTACTACAAAACACTATGTATTCGTAGACACATCTTAGGACATTTCACAAATGTCGAAGTAAGATAGGCAACCACAATGAATACTGTGTGCTTAATGCATACAAACTCACAGATAATATATACCAATTGATTTAATTTATCAAGTTAGAGATTTGTATATACTATATATTCAAATATTCATGTATTTAGAGTCAAAAACAAAACAAAACAAACTCGTTGCCATCGAGTCAATTCTGTCTCATAGCGACCCTAAGGACAGAGTAGAACTGCTCCATAGGGTTTCCAAGGAGCAGCTGGTGGATTTGCACTGCTAACCTTTTGGTTAGCAACCGAATGCTTAACCTCTCTGCCACCAAGTCCCCGTATTTAGAGTACAGGATGTAAAACGTATTCCTTTAACCATATATA